TCTAATCAAATTAACCAATCGCCTTGCGAGGTTTTGGTCGTCTGCGTGTTAGTATCCGTTTGTGTCCGGCTAGCAGGTAGGGAAGGCAATGGCGCTACTTGCCCAGGATCCAGCGACTTTAGTCATACCTTGTCGGCGTCACCCCGGCACTGGGCCCACTGCAGGGGTTTCCCCACGATTCCAATCAAGGGGGGGGTGTCCCAATGGCTCGGGGGGGGGGGGGGGGGGGGGGGGGGGGCGATGCGATGCGAGGCGAGGCTAGATAAAATATAAAACTGTTTCTTTTTTAGTCCACTAGCTAAATTACAGACGTCTATTAACCAAATGCTCATACCCGTAATGTATGTTTCCCTTTCTCTATATATACACCTGAGAGGTGGTGTTTTCTACTTAATCTGAAAAAAGAATTTTATTTTATTTTTTTCCTTTTTTTTTAGATTCAAGTCCAGGAAAACTAGGGGGGGGGGGGGGGGGTCTCAACTCCCCCTAGAGGGGTTTAGGGAAATCCCTGACCCACTGGAAGACAGGGTGAAGACTTTGGGCCGGAACCACGCAGGAGGGAATTTAAATTTTCCTATGTCCCGCCCATCCCCAGCTGTGTCAGTTAGTTGTACGTCATTTAATTCCCCCTAGATAATTTCCACCAGTCTTTCAACCTTTGGTATTAAAATTCACTCTTCATCCATTTATTCCATTCTCGTCCGCAAACCCCAGCACTCCGGCTAAATCTGTGGCCCCCTTGGGGAGGGCAGGAGATAGCCCTGCGCACCTCAACACCACATGTTCCTATTGTCTCGTCTCCCCCTTGGCATACAGCACACCATGTATCCATTTCCTCCGACTTCGTGCTACTTGTGCTTGTCCTCAATACTCCTGTTCTAGCCTCGAATAACAGCAAGCTCCCCCGTGAATTATTATACCAATGCTTCTTCCTTATTTCCTGCTTTCTTAAAAGGTTAAAACAGCGCAAAAGACAACGGACAGCGTAAAGAAGTCTGTGTCCTTCTTTACCCTGTCCGTTGTCTTTTGCGCTGTTTTAACCTTTTAAGTATGTCACACCAACTCGCCCAGGCTTCAACCTTAGCAACATTTATTCCTGCTTTCGTTCGGCTGATTTTCCCTGCATCCTTTCCTCCCACATCTTTCTTTCGGCTTCTTTTACTTCCTTTTCCACAGAGATAGTCTGTCCTGCCCCCGCCTATGACTGTTGGAATTTGAATTTTTGTTTTCGGGTTCGGTTTGTCCATTTAGTGTTCAAACTTTTCATAGATACTTATACACCTTTCTCGCCCATCGTGTATCCTCAGTTGCGTCCAGTCTTTGTCCGAATAAGCCAACCAGTCGGAGAAGAGACGCATCCCGGACACCATAATTCGGTGGCCTTAGCCATGGAGGTAGCAAGGAGAGGAAGTGACATACCGGCTCAAGCCGGCCAAACGAGAGAATCCCAAGTGAAGCCGGAAGTAGAGGCCGCAGTTGGTGGGAACGCCCCTAAGGGTGACCAAAAAAGCTTTTGGCGCTATTCGGTCATCGTTAGTGGGCGAGTGTCCCTCCAAACCGGAAGTCTCCCCCGGCTTCACCTGTGGGGGCGTCATGTTGCCTCCAGAAACTTCCTACCTCCATGACGATAGCAGACGACAGACGGACTTTGTTGTGAGGAAGGAGACGGTGGTGTAGCGAGATTAGGTGGGTACATGGGCGCTTTTGCCGTGGTTTTCCACCAGCGGAGCGTGAACAAAAAGAGTTCGAGATAAAGACTTGACGCAAATGACTGATTTTTTCCAGCGTCTAATATTTTTACTCTGGTGCCGGGAAAATTGGGACCGGACATTTCATCGAACGCCGTTTCGTCGAACGCCGTTTCATCGAAGCCATTTCATCGAATGCCGTTTCATCGAATGCCGTTTCATCGAATGCCGTTTCATCGAACGCCATTTCATCGAACACCGTTTCATCGAAGCCGTTTCATCGAACGCCGTTTTATCGAACGCCGTCTTATCGAACGCCAGGGTAGCATTCCCTCTTCCTGAAGCTGGTCGGAGGTGCCCATCCCAGGTCCTGGAAGTTTTTGACTTGCATTGCCACAGAACATCAACTGACGGAAGACAAGCTGGAGGCGATGCTGAGTTCCCAAGAGCCTCCTCGCCAGAAGATGGCCATATAGCGGAAAGGAATGTGAAGATCCGCCCTTTTTATGAGAACCGACGGACCATGGCTGTAGGGGACTTTTTGAGAGCAATTCCTCATCATTTGAAACTGTGAATGGCTGTCGCACGAACACATGAAGCTCCGAAAATTTTGAAATAAAATTTGAAGTGACGTACTTACTTTTGACTTTATTGAGTCTTAAAACTAAAAAAAAAAACAATGTTTCGTTGTAGTTTCATAAACAGCACCTCAGCTTTAGCTACTGCAAGCTTTGGGCAGTAAAAAAGTATCGATAGAAAGACATGAGAGGCTAGGGGGCTCACATGGCTAAGGTTGTTGCGCCGGCGCAAAACCTATGTCGCCTTCTGGCCTCCACGAGTTGGAGTGCGCTCTCACCGGGAGTGCGACTTTTCATTTATTTGTTACAATACCGTCAAGGCCAATCGGGTAATACAGAGGGGGTGAACAGATATGCACAATATGCGAAACAAACATAAAGATCGGGACAAATATCTTCATGGGTTACTTGCTTCAAAATAAATTGTAACATCTACAAGTTTGGACATTAAAAAAACAGACAATGAAACGGGTGAATGACACAAAAATGCACTCGATCCGCGCATAAAAGAACATCTTTCACACTTTTTATTGAAAAGACATTCGATGAAACGGCCGTCAGCGATTCGATGAAACGGCGTTCGATGAAACGGCGTTCGATGAAACGTCCATTTTTTCGATGAAACGGCGTTCGACGAAACGGCGTTCGATGAAATGTCCGGGAACCCTGGAAAATGTCTCAGACTGGTAGTGTTTACCGCGTCCAAAAAAAGTGGTCCCCCGATTTCCGCCTTATGACGTCATACAAGTGTGACGCTGTCGCCGGCCGCGATCCTGGCGGTTTCACAGCAGCTGTGGAGGGTGTGGCAGACGCCTGTTCCGCTGCGGGTTTCTCTCCGCTGTGGCAGTCCACGGAAGCTTCGGCAGCCAGGAGTTGGGACGCCGCGACGACAGCGACACTCGCGTTCGCTCGTGCTTTTCGCCGGTACTTCAAGTGCTAACTGCCAAGATCGCGACATGCAACAGCATGACACTCCGGCCTCAGTGACGTCATTTGTTGCCACCTCGGGACCACTTTTGATGTATGGGCTGGGATAGGAAGTTAAACACACCAGTCGGAGACGCGATCCAGGCACCATAACTTTTACAAACCTTAAAGGGGCACTGAAGTCGAGTTCAAGATCGTCCTTTTGTGGTGACAACTCAAGCTAGATGCTCTAAGCATCCCAACAAGTCCAAAATCACAACCGTGCGTGACCTCTTTCCTCGTTGAAAGCGTGTTCAAAGATCCCGACACGCCCTTTTTGGAAAGAATTTTCTTGAAGTGGTCGACGGGAGAACGCTTGTCGGCGAACTGCAAGCGATGGCTCCGCCGGCGGTGAAAAAAAGGAGTCTCATCTGAATGTGTACCTATGATACTTTCTTCGAAACCAGTTATAATAAAATCATTCGGAATCTGCGCGTATTGTGGGGCTTTCATTGGTCCACACAATGTAGTCCGGGAGAAAAAAAAAAAAAAAAAGCCCACATGTTTTTCTTTTGCCCTGAGATGAATAAGCGGTTTTGTAATATAGGACTTCGTAAATGTGAGAACTAACACATTTTAAACAACGTAAGATCAAAAACGACCTTTTCCAAAATTGACTTTAGTGCCCCTTTAAAAAAAAAAAAATTAAAAGGGGGGAAAATAGCAGCCTAAATAAAAAAGAGAATGTCATAAAACGGCAAAAAAAATTATAGCTATATTTACGAGGTGAGACGAATACATTCTAGTACACTGTAGTTTAAGCCCACGGAATAGCGGCAACTTGCAGTCACGTGACTGGCCCCTAGTCACGTGGTGCTTCCGCTCTTTCGGGAGCTTCCTAAAAGCTCTACAAGTTACTTATTAATCTTCGTTTTAAGTGCAACAAGAAAACGAAGATTATTAGGTAACTTTTAGAGCCTATAGACCATTCCATTTAGCGCTCTCTGGGCGGCACCATTTTGTTCGACCGCAGCGCCCTCTCCATACATCCGGGAAGTTCAGCGGGTTCGGCGGGGTAAAACGAGAGAGAGGGCGCGGGCCCGACTCCGCTAGCAGACGACAAACCGGGAGGTTGCCGTTCTCCATCTTTGGGCTGTATCGGCGGGCTGTAAGGAACATCGAACTCTCGCTCGTGGCTGCCGTTGTGAAGTGGTTCGCGTTCTTAGAATAGTTATGGCTACTCCAAAATCAGCCTAGAGCTCTCTGTCGTTCTACTTCGGTAAATGATCAACTGACATATCTTTTTTCCGTTACTTAAATAGCAGTTGAGTCAGCCGGCAGTACTACCCTCAACTACTGCGTGTATTGCGGCAGGAGAGCACGTTTTATTTATTATTTCAGACTTCCACTCATGTTCGCTAAAGGCCTACATCAGTACGAACTTTTGTATAGTAAACAAGGTACAGCAACCGGATTGACTTTTCGCCTAAGAGACCGGCCAATCTGACACAGTTTTCCTTTTTTTATATTTGCACGCAGGTAACAGCGCAATTGGACCCTGTAAGTCTTTTTAACTAGCATAATATTGCACGACAACTGGCATACCAAAATCTGCGCGTCTACGCTTGAAAGTTCCAAAATGACGCGATTTTAAACAGAGTTTGCACGCCAGCCGGACGCTTGCTACAGCCCACTCGGCGGAGCGGACGAGATGCGGGGTGAGAGGGGGAGTGCATTGTTTTCTCTTTTACCCTCTCTGCTATGACCCTAATGGAACGGTCTATAGGAAGCTCCCGAAAGAGAGCAAGCACTAAGTGACTAGTGGCCAGTCACGTGACTGCAAGTTGCTACTTTTCCGCGGGCTCCCGCGGGCGTCTACAAGTTCGTTTCCCGCCGTAAAGATAGCTCCAAAGGTTTCTCTTTTTTCGGTATAAATTTCTTTTATGACATCCTTTTTCCAACCAGACTGTTTTAAGTTTTCTAGTTTCGCTAAATACTACTTAGAACCACTCCGTAACGTTAATAACTGAAAGAAAAAAAGAATGCTTGCCTTAGTTATTTTTTCTAGGGAAGTCTCCTTTTATCCTCGAAATTTCACTGCGACAAAGAAACTTCTGAATCAGTGGCGGTCTGTGCGAGTATACTTGGGCCAGACTAGGACCAGTACGCCTCTGCAAAGTCGTGAACATTTCAACCAGATATCGTTTCATAAACCCTTTCAACGAAAAAAGCATGTTTTTTGTTTTTTTTTTGTTTTTTTACCATTCGTGGGCTGCCTATTATCCCCTGGAACACGGGGCTAAAGTATCAGACTGCCGACAACCCGGCCCCGACGACCGAAGTGGGAAAGGAGAAGACGGGAGCCCGCGCGGTACGTCAGAACGTCGGTCTCTGGTTGGAATGATCAATGGGTAGAGCTAAAGCTAGCCGCCTTTGGGTCTACTGCGCCGTTCGAACACTTGAGGAGCCGAAACGCCAGCGTTTGGCTTTCGCATTCGAACGTGTTCCACAAGTGCAGTGGAGACCAGTGATTTCTCTACACACCTCCTAAGGAGGGGGGGTGCTGCGCGTTACCTTTTCGCCAAAACTGGAGATTGAAGCTAATGAAAGCACGCTGGGATTCCATTTCCCATGTATTTTGTGAATAAAGGCAACGTGGGCGTTATTTTGTTTACATGCCACTACTATAGAAGCTCGTTACATAACACCTAAACAGCGTCTCGGTAAGGATCATGGCCCAGGCCCGGGGGGGGGGGGGGTACCCCCCTCTCGCCCCCTTGGATCACACCAGGGCGAGCCCCGATGCCCCGCAAAATCCTACGCCTAGGGGGGTGTAGACTCCCCTTGTTTTTCTAAATTCCCAACGGCTCCTTTATTCTCAATGCCCCCTTCCCCACCCCAATAAAAATTTAGACACCCCCCTTACTTCAATTCCTGGGGAAACCCCTGGTGGGCACCCTTTGTCTCCAGTCCACTGCACTCGTCGAACACGTGCGGAACGCAGGCGTCCGGCTCCTGCATTCGAGCGCGTTCTACGAGTGCAGTGGAGACAAAAACGACTAGCTCGGTCTACCACTGATCATTCGAATCAGAAGTTCTGAGGTCCCTGCCCGCTTTCGACTCCATCTCTTCCTCAGTTTCCCGGCGCATAGTATCATGAAGGTCCTTCCTGGGTCCACTCTGGGCCGCTGTAGCACCGGCCAGTTGGAAGGATAGGGGAGTGTCAAGAGAGATAAGAGATAAGAGTAGGGCACTTCAGGAAGGACAGGAGGCCAGCTCGCTGGCCCTCACGGAGGAGTACGAGTAGCTCGTCTTCTCGCCCGCGTCGCTGGACGCCGCAGCCCACGCTCGAGCAGCTCGAGTCCCTGATGGGAGAACAAGAAAAAAAAAGAATGTCCCGTGTTTGCTCCGAGAGAATGAGAAACAACAACATTCTGACTGATTTCTAAGCTAATAGACCTTTTGCTAAATTAACCAGGCATCAAAGAGAACGTTGGGAACGTAGTTACAACGTAGTTACTTAGTTCTATTCACAGGATGCCATATTTAGGGGCGACGTTTAGAGCGCGTGCTCAGAACGGGCTCACATTAATAGCCTGCAAAGACCGGCAACCTTGATGGTGCTAAATGCACGCTCCAAAAGGACTGCGGAAGCTCGCCGTCAGCACGCGCTCAGCAGCAGCGCACACGGATATGGCCGCCAGTGACTCTAGCAACCTATAGGGGACGCCACTACCGGGCAAATATGGCGGCCGAATTCAGGTCGTGCCGTGCCATGTGCCAGCTCAACGCACAACGCTGGGGCAGCAGAAAGTAAGCGTTGGACTCAAGATTGGTTCCCCCGCTTTTGATCTTCCACGTTTCGGACCTGCGGCGACGTGTTGGGGTAAGCGAACTTCCAGAGGCTTGACTTTCTTCGAGGAAACGAGGAAGGGACTGCCCACCGTCCTTCCACGGCGCTGATGAACGTTGAGAAACGCAGAATGTCTGGCTCATGCGGTTCCATAGGTCGCGTGCAGAGCAACCTGGTTCACAAGGCGATATACGGTTACGACACAGCCACCGGTAATGTAATGTAATGCTTTATTCGGTTTCTAAAACCCGGGCGACAGTGAAAAGGCTATTGCCCATGCCATAGAGGCCCACTGTACCCGCTACACAGACATATATACAAAAAAAAAGAAGGTATATATATATAAACGAATATGTGCAGATGAATGAACCGTACTTAATCCAATGAATTAAAGAATCCAAGTTTTCAGGAACCCGCCGAAAGCCAAAAATTGGCGGAGCCAGGATTTGAACTCTGGGCCTCCCAATGTCCGGTCGGGTGTGCTAACCACTACACCACTCCACCTTAGCTTTCTGGCGTTTCCTACCTGTCTTATTAATGCACAAGAAACGAAATGTGTCCAATCGGAGGTGTTCTGGAAACACACGCCGCCGCGTGGAACGCGGTACGACGCTTAGTGTCACGTGGTACGTGCTCGTTTGTGCTCCAGAAATCCTCCCACTGTTTGTCTCGCCCCGTGTACATGTAGTATTCTTTGTTTATGAGCTTTTAGAGACACGGTATCATCATCATCTGCGAGAATCAAGAGCCACGTTATTGAATATACAACACGGGCACTTCACGTCATCGTACGTGGTCTCCGAGGGGGATATAAACGAATATGTGCAGATGAATGAACCGTACTTAATCCAATGAATTAAAGAATCCAAGTTTTCAGATCTCTCAGATTCTCGCAGATGATGATGATACCGTGTCTCTAAAAGCTCATAAACAAAGAATACTACATGTACACGGGGCGAGACAAACAGTGGGAGGATTTCTGGAGCACAAACGAGCACGTACCACGTGACACTAAGCGTCGTACCGCGTTCCACGCGGCGGCGTGTGTTTCCAGAACACCTCCGATTGGACACATTTCGTTTCTTGTGCATTAATAAGACAGGTAGGAAACGCCAGAAAGCTAAGGTGGAGTGGTGTAGTGGTTAGCACACCCGACCGGACATTGGGAGGCCCAGAGTTCAAATCCTGGCTCCGCCAATTTTTGGCTTTCGGCGGGTTCCTGAAAACTTGGATTCTTTAATTCATTGGATTAAGTACGGTTCATTCATCTGCACATATTCGTTTATATCCCCCTCGGAGACCACGTACGATGACGTGAAGTGCCCGTGTTGTATATTCAATAACGTGGCTCTTGATTCTCGCAGATGATGATGATACCGTGTCTCTAAAAGCTCATAAACAAAGAATACTACATGTACACGGGGCGAGACAAACAGTGGGAGGATTTCTGGAGCACAAACGAGCACGTACCACGTGACACTAAGCGTCGTACCGCGTTCCACGCGGCGGCGTGTGTTTCCAGAACACCTCCGATTGGACACATTTCGTTTCTTGTGCATTAATAAGACAGGTAGGAAACGCCAGAAAGCTAAGGTGGAGTGGTGTAGTCATTCCAATTTCGAACGTCGTCGAAAGCGCACGCGGAATCATGAGCTCCGTTGGAGCTGAGCAAGCGTCCCTGCTTGGACGCGGTGATATGGCTTTGGATCTTCCTGCTGACTATCGGTTTATTCTGCCGACGCTACCGGCGAATGACTTATCGAAATGCACGGCATTTCTGCACGCTGACATCGGAGTGCGGCCGTACCGCATTGAAGATTTCAGGGAACCTTTGCGGCAACTTGGCGTCCTGAGCGACGTGACCGGTATGGGGGTGTTCCAGATGGGGCACGTTTGGATTGTCCGCCTCAAGTCGACTGCCGCCAAGGAGAAACTGATGATGTCTGGCAAGTTCAAGGTGAAAGGAGGTTGGTGTGTGCCGATGGACCCTGATCGACGAGAGGTCCGACTCAAGCTTCACTGGGTGCCTTTCGACGTGCCCAACGAAGCCCTGAAAAGGGCACTGGAGGAGTTCGGCGTGGTGAGAGAGATAATCCGAGAAAAATGGCACATCGACGGGTTTGACGGCGTCGAGTCGTCGACCCGGGTGGCGCGGCTGTCACTGAAGGAAGGCATGACGCTGGAACGCTTGCCTCACCAGCTTCGGTTCACCGGCGGCCCTGTACTTGTGGTTGTTCCAGGACGTGCACCAATGTGCCTGCGGTGCAAACGGTCTGGACACATTCGCCGTGATTGTAGGGCGCCTCGCTGTAGTGAGTGCCGTGGATATGGTCACGAACGCCAAGACTGCGTTCGATCCTACGCTCGTGTCGCAGGAGGACGCCAGGCCGAGGAAGACACGAACGAGCTTGTGATGGACGAACAAGAGGCGGAACAGGCGGCGGCGCCCTCAACGCAAGCGTCTGTAGCGTCGGCGACTTCAAAGGCAACAGTAACCGCTAGCAAGGAGTGCGAAGGGAAACCTGACGGAGAAAAGGAGCCTTTTGTGGTCACAGCGCCAACCGAGATGCCGACCACGAAGCTCCAGGACACCACGGGGGATTTCGAGCACTCAGCCGGTTCGGATGCAGCTACAGTAGAGGAAGCAGCGGAGAATACGGCTACGTGTAAGGAAAAGGAAGTGGCACCGGAGAACAGCCCCAGCGAGGAAATGTCCCTGGACGCGATCACTTCGAAGCGGCGACTAGAGGACTTGGGTGCACGCAGTGCTGCTGCCAGCGAGCAGGCACTGCGACGCCTGGAATATCAGTGGAAGCTCGCCGGGAAAAAAGGACGCTATACGACACGCAGCCGCTCGCCGTCGAGGGCTCGTGAAGACCGGCTGTCACAGTAAGCTGGTTCCCCGCTACCCCCTGATTGGCAAGTGTCTGATAGCTGGCGCAAGGTCATAAGCTCCTAAGTTTTCAAAGCTATGAAACAGCTCGAGGTCGCACTGCGTATAGCTACCCTGAACGTAAGAGGACTGTCTGCAAGGCGAAGGCAGTGCCAGCTCAGAAGGTTGTTCTTGGAAAACGACCTCGACGTGATAGCTGTCCAGGAAACCAAGATTGAGAGCGAGGAGCAGACCGAGCAGATGGTGCGCCAATTTGAGTCGCGATACGATGTATGCGTAAGCCATGCGGTAGGGAGGTCGGGGGGTGTATGCATCTTTTTGAAAAATGCTTTAGGTATTATTGTTGAGAATGTTGCTTCGCGTGAAGATGGGAGAGTCGTGTATTGTGATATTTGCTTTTCAGATCAAAAGTTTCGTATAATCTGTATCTACGCATCGACTGTAGAGACGGAACGATGCCATTTTTTTGAAAGTATAGCGGAATATTTAAAGTGCGAACGACTGCTTGTGGTGGTGGGGGATTTTAACAGTACATGTGCTCCAGAAGACAGGACCCCTCCTAGTCGCCGGAGGGATAGCAGTGCCGATGTCTGGAATGAACTGGTAAATGAGCATTACTTGGAGGACGTGGCACATTGCGGAAAGGGCACGAAGGGCGTGCAGTTCACACATTTCCAAGGAAGTAGCCACGCACGGCTAGACAGAGCATACGTGTCAGTTGAGCTAGTTCCGCTGTGTGGACACTATAGTGTCGAGCAGGTGTGCTTTAGCGATCACTGCCTTGTGACTTTCGGGTTAGGATCAAAAAGAAAAGAACGACACCGATTTGATTGGCACAACTGGAAAATGAATTACAAGCTCCTTGACAAAAAAGTCAAATTTGGGGGTTTTACGTGCCAAACCTACGACGGGCATCTGGCACGCCCCAGCGGAGGACTGAGGATTAATTTCGACCACCTGGGGATCTTTTGACGTGCAACCGAAAGCTCGGTTACACGGCGCCTTCTCCGCAATAAGCCTCCGTCATATTGCACAAGCTCCTTGACGACGAGGTGTTTAACGACAAGATAAATGCAAGGATTGAAAATTTTAGGAACATCTGCGGGAGCGAGATGACCGGAGAATGGGAAGAATTTAAACGAGTAGTTAAAATGGACGCCATAGAAAGATCAACCATTCTAAAGTACGAGAAAGAGAAAGAGGAAAAGCAGCTGCGCTCAACTTTAAAGGAGCTTGTTCTAGAAGAGTGTAAATCCCCCGGGTTATTTATAGATGACATTAATAAAATAAAAAGCAAGCTACAGCTCATAGATACTGAGCACTACAGAGGTGCGATAATACGTGCCCGGGCAGAAAAGTTTCTCGCGGGTGAAGCACCAACAAAACGAGCGTTAGCCACAGAAAAGAGATACGCACGCGCCAATGAAATAACTGAAATTGATTATCAGGGTACCACGACGCGTGACTCTAGCATAATTGAGGGAGCCTTTCTTGAATTCTACGAAAACTTACTGAGCCACAAAGCCCCAAAAGAAGAAGGTTTCACAGAAAATTTTTTGCCCCTTCTGCCAAAGATAGGTAGTGAAATAAAAGAATGGTTAGAACAGCCGATAGGTGTG